GACATGGAGAGCGGCCAGCACAGCCTTACCTCAGCTGGAAATGGGAGCTGCAGAGGAAAATCGTGGAACAGCTAAATATCTGTGACGGGAGAGAGGAAACACCTCGCTCACCAGCTGTCCTTCAGCGAGGCTCCTGCCCGCTCAGGTCCAGCCCCTGCGTTTCCCCACCCGTGACCATCCCCTCGAAACCCCGACCTACCAGTCACGTATGGTCCCAGAGGCATCTGGCTGTAGTTGACAATCCCACCTGGCCCGGGACCTCGGAAATTTGGCCCGAAGTTATTGTTGTAGATCTGGGAGGAGCCGAAGGAGCCCTGGGGAGGCAAGGAGGTAGAGGAGCTGCTGACCTGCAGCCCCAGTCCGCCCACCAGCCCCCGGTGAGGGGCTCAGTCCCCACCCTTGCTGACCTGTGGGCCGGTGGGATCCCCACCACGCGTGGCCAGGCGGCTGAGGATGCTCCGCTCCGACATCTGCAGCCGGGCGGCCACGGGCGGGATGCGGGACAGCATGGAGGGCAGGCGGGTCACATCAGCCTTCATGTCACTCAGCAGCTCCTCGAGTTGGTTCAGCACTGCGAGCAGAGTGAGGCGGCACTCAGGACACCCACTGGACCCCCGCAGAGCCTGGAGCTCCCCAGCATCCCAGGCCCACAATCTGTGAGCTCCAGAAGCAAGGAGAAGGTAGCAGAGAGCACTGACCCCCACTGCCACCGGCCGCACCAGCAGTGTGCCACCTCGAATTGTAGAACCATTTTGGTTGGAAAAGACCTTCAAGATCATCAAGTCCAACCATCACACCAGCATGGCCAGGGCACCACTAAACCACATCCCTCAGCACCACATCTTCACAGCTTGGAAACCCCTCCAAGGGATAGGGACTCCACCACTGCACTGGGCAGCCTAGGACAGTTCTGGACAACCCTGGCAGGGAATAAATTGTTCCTTTGGTCCAACCTCAACCTCCCTTGAGGCAACGTGAGGCTGTTTCCTCTTGTCCTGTCACTTGTTCCTTGGGGGAAGAAACCAACCCTCTCCTGGCTCAAACCTCCTGTCAGGGAGTTATCAAGAATCAGATAAGGAGCTCCCCTGAGCCTCCTTTGCTCCAGTCTCAACAACCCCAGGTCCTTCAGCCAGTCCTCACAAGACTTGGGCTCTAGATCCTTCCCCAGCTTTGTTGTCCTTCTCTGGACACACTCCAGACCCTCAATATCCTTCTTGGAGCGAGGGGCCCCAAAACTGAACCCAGGATTTAAGGGGTGGTCTCCCCAGTGCCGAGTCCAGGCGGACAATCGTTGCCCTAGTCCTGCTGGCCACACTAGTGCTGACACAGCCCATGATGCTGTTGCTTTCTTGGCCACCTGAGCACATGCTGGCTCTTATTCATCCCGCTCCCCAGTGCTCACCAGCAAAGTGAGCCAGGGAGAAGTAGTCAGCTCCTGGCCAAGGGAGCACGAGACAGGGACAACCTCCCAGATAGACCTCCCCACAGTCAAGCTAGCCAACCCTTCCACCCCCTCTGACAGCACGCACCCTTGTGCAGGACAGCGTTGGCTGGCTTGTTCCCAGCCAGGGACTCTTTGGAGAGGTGCTGGTGGCTCTCGGCAAGGCACTCCACTTCAGCCAGGCGGGCGTTCAGGGCCATGGCCGGGTGACTGGGGTCTTGAGTCATGTTGAGGTACGCAGCCCTCCGCAGCTGCTCCTCGATCACCAGTGCCTGCTCCAGCAACTGGGAGGTACAGGAGGGGAGGATTCAGGATCAGGCCTCACTCCAGCATAACGCAGTATGACTGGTAGGCTCCAGAAGGCTCCAGGTGCTCACACCAGCAGAGCCTCTGCCCTGCCGTGCTCCCTGCTAGCCTCACTCTCAACTCCTAGGGGAACAGGCTTAGTCCTCATGTTTTCATATCCCATTGAAACACTACGCATCCTGGAATGGGATTTGGGCAGCATTCCCACAGCATTGCACATGTTGGGAGTGGGCAGAGCACCCAGCCACGCAGAGAGGACCCAGCCCCATCCCACGCACCGCATTGCAGAGCCTGCGAGCTCCCGGGTGCCTGCCCACCTCCTGTGACCACGAACCCCTCATTCCTCATGTTTTCATATCCCATTGAAACACTACGCATCCTGGAATGGGATTTGGGCAGCATTCCCACAGCATTGCACATGTTGGGAGTGGGCAGAGCACCCAGCCACGCAGAGAGGACCCAGCCCCATCCCACGCACCGCATTGCAGAGCCTGCGAGCTCCCGGGTGCCTGCCCACCTCCTGTGACCACGAACCCCTCATGAGGCCCACGACCAATCCCAGAAGATGATGGCAGGCTCCCTCCCAGCTCTGGGACACAGCTCCAGTCAGTTCCCTCAGTGTTAAGGACCCACCATTTCCCCTGGCCCTGCCACTTGCCTTGAACCGCCGGGCAAGGAACTTGTTCTTCATCTCGAGGTAGTTGCCCTTATGTATCTCCGACTTGAACGGCTCGTTCAGGATCACGT